CCCTCCCCAACCCCCGTGGCCCGTCTGCTTTGCATAAGAAGAAGCCCAGCTGGGGTGGGGGCGGTGGCGAGCCGCTGGGACCAGGTCCGCTATAGATCCCAGGAAGGGGCGGTTGGGTCCCGGGCGCTAGCGGCGAGAACGCAGACAGCTGGGGGAGGGAGGAGCGTGGGGACCGCGGCACTGGACCAGCCCCTCCCCGCGACCTACACAGCACGGCGGGCTGGGGAGGCGAGGACCCCGTGCCGCGCATCTCTAGGGTCCTGGAGTACCGGGTACGGGTCGGCTTGTTCCTCTTGAAGTGTCGGTCCGCAGGGGGAGCACAGAGCCAAGTCTAAGCCTCGAAGCCGGCTTGCTGGGTTGGAAAACGGCCTCCCATCCCACCGCCCTCCCCGCAGTCAGGAGCCCGAACCCAGGTGTGCGTGTATGTGAAGGGGGTGCGGCGAAGGCGTTAGGGGCTGCGCACCTCGAGGTCAGGGTGGGCGGAGCGCCAAAGCGGTGCGCGGCGGGGCCGGGCTTCCGAGGAAAAGGTGGCTGGCGGCCAGGCGGGGGCCATCCGCAGGCCCTGGGGGTGTAGGGTGGTGCGGGCGGAGACGTGGAGGCAAAAAAGGGACGTTGGTAGAACTCAAAATCCCAGTCCCACTGAGGCTCAAACCAAGCTCGCTGTAGCAGTTTGCCGGTTCGCCGGAAGAGGGTATTCTATTTGCAAAGGGCTAGATTCCCTGCCCCACCCCCAGGCTCAGTGCACGTGGGGTCCAGGGCTCATGTCCCCCTCGTGAGCCCCGGAGCTTGTGTGGGATGTCTGACCCTGCACCGCGAGCCGGGTAGAAAGGCCAGTCCCCAAATCCCGGATAGACCGGGCTGGCTGCCTACCCTTATTTTCTTCCACGCTAGGGCCGGATACTGTCCCCCAGCACCCCTCCTTCGAAAGAAAAACAAAAAACAAAACGGGGAGCAGAACAGCAGGACTGCCTAGCTTTGTCGCCTTCAAATTTCACTTCGGGAGAAATCCCAGTTACTGCATAGAAACGGTGCCGGGGAAACGGAATTTGGTGTTTGACTGGTGTGGGCCAGGGAGCCAGACTGACTCTTCGAGGCTAAGGCTTTCAGGACCCCGAAGCGACCCCCATGTCCGCGATAATCCGCCCCCGTGGAAGGTGGTCCCGAGTTTATACTCTGAGCGGGGAATTGGTGAGGTAGTAGGGCTCCCTGAGAGGGAACTCCGGAGGGTGTGCACTGTCGGCGGTTGTCTGGGAAAGTTGAGGCCAGCCCGAGGCCTGGAAGAGGGGAGGACCGGCAGCTAGGCTCACCCTGCCCGGGCGCTGCACACCCCAATCCACGGCAGCCTCTATGTGGTGGTGCCCCAGGGACGGCCCCCTTCCCACCGACACCCCCACCCCCACCCGCCCCTGTAGCCCTGCGGTTTCCCGCCTCGTCGCTTGTTTTTATGTGTAAAAGGTGTCTCCGGATCACAGCTTTCTCACAACAACTCGTCCGGGTTGCAACTCTTCACCCAAGGCGTTTCCCCACCCACTCCTGTCCCCTCCCGGGCGCCGCGCCTCCGGTCTCCCCCGCCCCCATCAGGAAACCGCCGGAATCAACTTTACAAGACCGCGCCGCGGGAAACAGACACCCAGATCTCCCAGCGGCCCGGACCCCGTGGACTTCGGGTGGATTGGGGGAGGGGGAACAGGAGGAAGGACCGGAGGAGGGAAATTCTGCTGCCAAGGGCCCTCCCTTCACTCCCCCAAAGACACGCACTGTGGTCGGGCCAAACTTCTAGGCCAAGATTGCAAGAAGAAAGGGGGCGGGGGGGAAGGCCAACACTCAATGAATTACACTAGGGCCGCCGGGGCTCCCAGACCCAGTTGCACTCCAGTCTTCAACCAGGTTTGATCTTGGAATACGTCCACCCTCCAGCAGAACTGTTCCGCCTGACCTACTCCCGCGTCCCCACCGAAACCGAGGCCTTACCGGAGCAGGAGGGGGCCGGGGCACCTTGCAGCCCGCCGCGCTCACCGCGCCGGGCCGCCGATGCGGCCGCCACTGATCCTCTAAACGCGGTCTCCCCCGCACTCTCTCCGGCCTGGGGATGCAGAATGGTTTACAGAGGGACCGCGAGCCGCTGATTGGTCGCAGGCCGCGGTGACGTCGGCGGGCGCTGCATTAAGGCGAGGGGGCTTCTAGAGCTCAGCCAACAGCCAGGAGCAGTGACCGAGCCGCCGGAGCCGGGGAGAGACGCGCCGGGACGGCGGACTGAGCCAGGAGACCAGGGACAGAGGGACGCTTGTCCAGGGAGAGCCAGCCACGCACCGCGGCCCGGGCGGCGACAGCGGCGGCCGGTGCCGAGCTGTTCCGGCCGCGCAGAACTGTAGCCGCTGCACCAGGACGTTTTAAAAAAGCGCTCTAAGCTACTCCCCCTCTTCCCGACTCCTCCCGCTGCAAAAGAAACAAAAAAAGGAAAGAAAGAGGCTAGAAAGGAAACCCAGATTTGCCACCACAACGAAAAAAAGAGAGGACAAGAAAAAGAAAAAGTCGAGCGACTGTGGGGTTGGACGCCGGCAGCCGGAGCGTGGGCCAGCGATGCGGGGCTGCGCGCCCAAGCGGCCGCGAATTGTGACTGGAGCCACGATGCACCGCCAGGCGCGGTGAGGAGCCGGCCCGAATCACCTCCCGACGGAGTCCGGGCGCTGGGAGGGCGGTCGCGAGAACGCGGAGGCCGCCAGGCGGGCCCTGGGCCGAGGTGACGGGGCTGGGGCGGTGGGAAGCTAGCGAGCGCGCCCGGCGGCGTCCTCCCGGAGTGGTCCCCCTCCTTTCTCGATTGACACAAACACTTCTCCAAAAGGGGAGAGACCTGAGCAACAACAGTCAACTACGAGATCTTCCTCCTGCCCTCCCCTCCGCTCCTCCTCCCGCGGTCTGCCCCCGCCCCCTCCCCCGGCCCACCCCGGGCGCCCAGCACGTCCCGACCCCGCTGTGCGATGCCTGCAGTTTAGGATCCAAAGCTTCTCTACTCATTTTGTTCTTTTCTTTTATAAAAAGAGGAGGGGAAATCCCGGTGGCGGGCAGCCGGGCACACACACAACCCGCCCTCACACCCCGACAAAAGCAGATGCACTTTGACTTCTGACAGCTCTACCTCAAGCCCGTGAGAACTCCCTACAAATAGCTGGTCGCGTGCGTCGCCCTCTTGCTTCCCCGTTTTATTTATTTAATTCGTTACCCTCACCGTCTCGGTGACCTTCACTCCACCGCGGGTTCTGGGCAGAAGAGTCGCTTTCGCACCCGCCGGAGACTCTTTTCCTCACCCCAGGAGCGGTGGTGGCGCTGCTGGGCCCGGGGCCTTGGGACGCCCAGGCTGCACACCACCGAGGCGCCCCGTTTGCCTCGTTTCCCCCCTCTTTTGATTTCCTGGTGCGGATTTCGGCTGGCACCGCCGTGTGTGTCTCCTCTTTTTGGAGGGGCTGGGGAGCTCCTTTCGGGAGTCAACCCCTCTGCTCTACCTGCTCTTCTCTCTCCGGGCCTCACCCGACTAAACCAAAGACCATGGTGCACTGTGCCGGCTGCAAAAGGCCCATCCTGGACCGCTTCCTCTTGAACGTGCTGGACAGGGCCTGGCACGTCAAGTGCGTCCAGTGCTGTGAATGTAAATGCAACCTGACCGAGAAGTGCTTCTCCCGGGAAGGCAAGCTCTACTGCAAGAACGACTTCTTCCGGTGAGTACTTCCCTCGCGGGCCTCTGCCGCTCCCTTCCCGCGGGCCCTTCGGGGCCAGCCACGGATCAGAGGTCAGCGTGGTTGCGTTAGGGGACTGCCTTTGGAGAGGGCAGCCAAGTCCCGCAGGCGCCCGCCTCTTCGCCAGCTGGCGCGCTGGGCTCCCGGGACGCGTCCCTGCTTGCATCCTGGAAACTGTGGGTCGCGGCTTAGCTGCACGTGCCTAGGAAAAAAGGGTCTGAGCCCGCCTCGGCCCAGAAGCCCCTCCGAGCTTGGAGGAAGGCAGCGCGGCCTCAGGCGTGGTAGCCCTGGCTGCTCTCCTTCCCAGTGCGCGGAGCTCTCCAGCAGCTGCATTCTCCCGGCCTCCTGGGTTGCTTGCCCTCCGGGCTGAGCTTTGAAGCCCTGTCTAGCTCTTCGCCGCCGCGGCTAGAGGTCTCCAAGAGGTCTTGGCGGGAACCGCGGAGCTTTTTGCACGGGGTGTCACAGCCGCTTGCTCAGGCAGCGGCAGGAAATAGCCCCTATCCTACACATCCCGGGGCGTTCCCGAAACCCCGACCGGCCTGCCGGCGCTGGCCTCGGCAAACTGCCTCTCCGCCACTGTGAAACGCCCAGAGGCTGCAGCCTCCGTGAAGATCGTTTCCCCTGCTCACCCCGCTGCCTGGGGTTGGCGGGAGGTTTGGCCTCCGCCCTACGCGGACTTTGGCTCTGGGGCGGGGGATCCACTCGGAGCTCTCCCAAGCACTGCCCATCACCCCGCCACCTCCTTGCGGAAACCTGGGGGGAAAGCCACAAATTCTCCCGACACCCCTCCATTTAGCATTTTAATCGTATTCTCTGAAATTCACTGTTTGGGTCACCAAATCCACACAAACACTCAAGTCAACAGAGAACTGGAGCGAATTCGAATTGTCATTCCCCTTGCGGTGCTGGAAACCTCCCAGTTTCCTGGGCTGACTAGGTCTCTATTTTCTTCGGAGTCTGTAGTGACAGATCAAACTGGGAGAGGGGGGTGGGTGGGAGTTCAAGCCACCTGTCCCCAATGCCACCCCAGGACGCGTGGCTCTGGTTAGGGGAGACTGTGCAGCAAAGCGCGGTGCAGGCTGGTATTGCCAGGAGAAGCCCAGGCTGAAGCTCTGAGCCTCGGCAGGCCATGCCCGCTTTCCCTGGCGCTGGCTGGAACCCAGCCGGGGAGCCGCGCACCGTGCCAGTGGGCCCCAGAGGCCTGGCCCTCCCGCAAAGCGCGTCCCGGTGTCTAAAGCCAAGCCGCGGCTCTAGCTTGCGCCAACCTGCCTGTCTTTGGGCTTGAACGTGGCTGCGGTCCAGCTGCGGCCGTCTGGGCTCTCCCAGGCTGTTTGTTCACCTGCAGCGGGACTGGACCTCGCCAACCCCTCCACCTCCCTCCCCCCGCCAGTGCGCGGGTCCTTTGGCGGTGAAGGAGAAAGGGCGCGAGAAGAGAAGCGGCGCTGGGGAGGCGTTTATAAGGCGCTCTAATTAGAATTTGACTGTTTTCTGAATCTAATCGGAAAATAAGTGCCTCCCTCCCCCTTCCCTTCTCCGCCTTGCCGCCTTCTCTCTCGGGCAGCGCTTTTTTCCTCAGGGACACATCGGGCATGAGGCTAGGAGTGGGGGCAGTTTGGGCTCCGCGCTCTCTCACTCTAACGAAATGGATCTCCTCCCGGACTTTTTGTGGTGCCCGCGCTCTCTTCTGCTTTCTTGCCTACTTGATCGGCATTCTGCCTTTCTTACTTTTTTTGCTGTCTCTCTTTCTTCATTTCCCCCGTCCTTTTCGCCTTCCTCCATTTTCCACTTATTTATTTCTCCCTGTCTTTTCCCCTGCCTCTGTGTTCTCTGCCCCTTCCCCCCCACCCCACCCCCCTTGCAGGTGTTTCGGTACAAAATGCGCGGGCTGCGCGCAGGGCATCTCCCCTAGCGACCTGGTGCGGAGAGCGCGGAGCAAAGTGTTTCACCTCAACTGCTTCACCTGCATGATGTGTAACAAGCAGCTCTCCACCGGCGAGGAGCTCTACATCATCGACGAGAACAAGTTCGTCTGCAAAGAGGATTACCTAAGCAACAGCAGCGTCGCCAAAGAGAACAGCCTGCACTCGGGTGAGGCCCCAATTCCCCGAGCACCCGGGGCGGGCAGGTCCTGGGAGAGGAAGGTCGGCCAAGGCCGCTGCTCACACCTGTCCCTCCCTTCTCTCCAGCCACCACGGGCAGTGACCCCAGTTTGTCTCCGGACTCCCAAGACCCGTCGCAGGACGACGCCAAGGACTCGGAGAGCGCCAACGTGTCGGACAAGGAAGGGGGCAGCAATGAGAATGACGACCAGAACCTGGGCGCCAAGCGGCGAGGGCCACGCACCACCATTAAAGCCAAGCAGCTGGAGACGCTGAAGGCTGCCTTTGCCGCGACGCCCAAGCCCACGCGCCACATCCGCGAGCAGCTGGCTCAGGAGACGGGCCTCAACATGCGCGTCATTCAGGTCAGGGTCCACTCGGTTCCCCCAGACCCACAGGACTCCTCCAGGCCAGCTCGCAGGAGCGGAGGCTGGCCTTGGGGTGAGGAGAAGAAGCCCAGAGACACCCTTACCCCTTTGGACATTTGAAGCTCTGCCCAGTGTTTAGAACGACTGGAAACCCCTAGGTCTCCTCCTCTTCCTGGTGATCGTGGTGGCCGAGGGGGGGAGGGAAAGGGAGCTAGGGAGCTCCGCAGGAGGTTGGAGGAAGGGACATGGTGGGACATTCGGTGAGAGTTGGGACGCTTTTTCTCTGCACCACCTACCCCTGTTCCAAAGGAGCCCAGAGGTCACTGTGCATGTGGAACTTAATGGTTCCTCTGGCTTCTGCACAAGGAGATCTCCCTCTGCATCCCTAACCCCAACTTTGTGGGTCTCTTGCCCTAGTTAGACAAGTCCCAGAGCAGAGGCTTCCCCTCTGGAGAGAGTGGGGCATCCTGGTTAGAAGGTGAGGTGGTCGGTCTCCTGGGAGTCAGCCCTACCTCATGGTCCCAGGTAGGATGGGGAGGGAGGTGGCCATCTGGGCAGCTGTGCTGGTTGTGTAAGCATCTGAGACTGCACGTGCTTCGGGTGGAGGCTCTGGCCCAAGTTCAGTTGTCCCGTTCATGTGCCTGGATGCTCTTCCAGGGTGTGCGTGGATGCGCCTGGGAGGCTGAGGGTGCACACACGGAGGGGCAGGGGGAGGTCCAGGGTCTGGGAGGTTGTACCAAAGTGCACGCACGTGAATGGTAGGCTGCATGTCTGTGTCACTATGAGTGAGCGGCTGCGGATAACTATCTTTGGCAGTGGAAGATTGTGCGTGGGTGTGGAAAGGATATTGTGCGATTTGGTGTCACTGTCGTTGGGAGATTGAGTGTCAACAGGAGGCTGTTTAGTTCTCTGTGTGCTATCATGTGGAGGAGGGAGCTGCCAGGGACCGTGGAGGAAAACTGTGTGTCTGACACTACTTGGGGAGGCTGCGTGTCTATGTGTGCATAGCCCCGGAGAAGCTGTAACTATGACATTGTGACTTAGAAACAACTCCAACTGCCTCACGTTGGGCAGGGCAGCTTGCCCAGGTCCTCCAGGCGGGAATCCTGTTCACCGTTGGCTCAGGGGCCGCCCAGCGCTGCCCTACTCAGAGGACCCCACCCCCAACACCATACACAACACGCGCGCATACGCACACACACACCCGCACACACACACCCGCACACACGGAGCTCCGAGAGCTAGGCTGTGGAGTGTGAGGGGCCGGCGGGGCGGCTAACCCGAAATGGGGAGTGGGGTTTTGTGGCTTCACCCTGTGGCGTGTGTGCTTCAGGTCTGGTTCCAGAACCGACGCTCCAAGGAACGGAGGATGAAGCAGCTGAGCGCGCTGGGCGCCCGGCGCCACGCCTTCTTCCGCAGTCCGCGCCGAATGCGGCCGCTCGTGGACCGCCTGGAGCCGGGCGAGCTCCTCCCCAACGGGCCCTTCTCCTTCTACGGAGGTGGGTGCGCTGCCCCGGGCAGGGCTCGGCCAGGCCCGGGTTGGCTTCGTTGGAAGCGGGTGGCAGCGCGGGAGGCGCTTCTCTCGGGCTACAGATCAGAGGAGAGATGGGGGAGGCTGGGCATTAAATGAGGGGGAGGTGGAATCCCCGAGCCTGAGTGAGGCGGGTGGGCAGTTAGCGAGCAGCTCCAGGGTGTGCACCCAGCCTCCTCCCAGTTCCCAGCCTGGAAGGGAGCCCCCAGCCGGCTGGCTAGGGTGCCTCCCTGCCCTTTATCCCACCCCACCCAGGGCCCTCCCTGACCTCCTCCTCCCCCTGCTCCGCAGATTACCAGAGCGAGTACTACGGGCCGGGAGGCAACTACGACTTCTTCCCGCAAGGCCCCCCGTCCTCGCAGGCTCAGACACCCGTGGACCTACCTTTCGTGCCATCGTCCGGGCCGTCCGGGACGCCCCTGGGCGGCTTGGAGCACCCGCTGCCGGGCCACCACCCGTCGAGCGAGGCGCAGCGGTTCACCGACATCCTGGCGCACCCCCCGGGGGACTCGCCCAGCCCCGAGCCCAGCCTGCCCGGGCCTCTGCACTCCATGTCGGCTGAGGTCTTCGGGCCGAGCCCGCCCTTCTCGTCGCTGTCGGTCAACGGCGGGGCGAGCTATGGGAACCACCTGTCTCACCCTCCCGAAATGAACGAGGCGGCCGTGTGGTAGCCGGGTCTCGCGCGGTCCGCGGAGTTCGTGGTTGTACAGAAATGAACTTTTATTTAAGAAAAAAAGAAAAAAATCATAAAAATCAAGTCACACCCCCTCCCACTACCACCGCTTTCCTCCAGCCTCGGGGACCATTTTCCGTCTGGGGAGACTGGATAGGAAAGGGAAACATGACATAGGATTGAAATCTGCCTGGAGGTAGGACTGGGATCCGCGACCTGGCTGGCCCGGTGCAGGACTGGGCTTCCCAAGGGAAACAGACCTCTCCTCGCCTCCCACCTGGACCCGACTCCGTGGACAGACAGCGCGGGCGTGCGAGTCTGGCCGGCGGGCGGCACAGGAACGACCACGGCGGCCTCCCGGGTGCACAGCTCAGTGGTGACGCCAGGAGGGAGCTTGCGCCCACAGCCGGGCTCAGGCTTCGGAGGTGAGCCGTCCTTGGGCGCTCCCAGGCCAGCCCAGGGGGCTCTGGCTGTGGGAAACCTAATAGTGTTGGTCTCAGTTCAGCAACAGCGACAACAAACTTAATAGCTTCAGAAACGTCGACCTGCTGTGCATCAGGTGGGACTATATATATATATATATATATATATATTTTGTCTCTCTGGGTTTTTTTGTTTTGTTTTGTTTTTGCCAAAATTGCAAAATTCTAAATGTAAAGCCCTCAGTATCAACTCTTCTACCTTCACAAAGCTCTATACACCTATACACACAGACACACTGGATAGGACGGTCTCCAGCCAGACCTCTCAGTAAAATGACTTGAACATCATCTGTACAAGAAAAGTATTCTACTTTCACACACACACACACACACACACACACACGCACACACACAGACACAGAGTTTTAAAAAAGACTATTGAACTAAAAACAGTCAACTGTTTACGTATAATGTTAAATTCAGGAGTTCAGTGTTTTACTAATACATCCTGTTTTGAAACCTCTTGTTCAAAAACAAAACGTTTTGAGCAGTCAACCAAAATTGTTCATTTTCTTTTCCTGTAGATGTTCTGACAGATTTGCAGGGCTCACAGCTCACTGTGCTAGTATGTAAAAAGGTGTTGTTTACACAAGGCAAAAAGAAAACACGATATTCAGACACTTGCCAAATAGAATAATTATAGCACAAATACTGTAAAGGTGCCTGGCACCACAACCTGAGAAAGTGTTAAAAAAAAAAAGTGTTACAAGGTTTAAGAAAAAAAAAACATCTTTGCTAATTTTTAGTCCTGTTGAACATTCATGGAATTGTTAATATGACTTATATAGACCCACACAGGTTTTATTTTTGTGTCTTTAAAATAAAAGTCCAAAATATTTAAATTTTATGGTCAAATATGCAGTCAGCAGCTGCTACTTTTTTCTTTATATATTAAATTTCTCATATGTCTTTTATTGTTCTGATAAACCTAAGCTTGTGTGACCTCCAGTGCATATTAGACCATTCACTGTATGAAAGAAAACATGATGTTGAATAAATTTGTGAGTTTTTAATAAAAATAGAAAATCTGATGTTTAGATAATCGGTGTGTTATTTGATGTTTTAAGAACTAGAAGGGAGGCAAGATGGGGAGCCGAATGACCCCTTAGAAGTGAGGCAGGACTGAGTTATCTGTTTTCACCTTGGCTGCGGTTGAACCCCATTGCTAATGCCAGCCAAGCTTTTCTCCATGGCTTCCTGCTGTTATTAACTACAGATTTGCATTCTGTGGATTTAACTGGTAGTGTTGAAGAGATCTTTGCTGATAAGTTAATATAGAATTTGAAATAGAAATAAAATCCATGGCTCAAAATGAATGACCCTAGTCTGTGATTAGGCATGAGATCCCATGTACTCCCCCCGCCCCACAAACAAGACTGGACTTGTGAATGTCAGCTGCAAATATATAGTCAGAGGTGGTCTTTTTCAGTTTCAATTCATTTCCCATAGATAATCCTGTTTTCTAATTTGGTGGTTTGAAAGATAATGTAAAATGAGTGTACGGTACAGCTAAAAGTGAAATACTTTAATCCCTTTCACAGAAATGATATGAAATAGTTGTTTTATAGTATTTGTTACATTTGAAGTTCCCCAGAAGGAAAATTATTTTGCTGGTACAGATACATATTACGTTTCTTTGAGAGATGAATAAAAATAACCAATATAGAAATCAAATGTCAACTGGCAGTTGCCCATTAGTTCTGAAAAGTGGTTCAGTCCCTTCCAAGCCTTCAGTAAATGTGGAAGGAATTTAAATATTTTATCTACTATGAAATACATGTGTGTGTTTTAATATCAAACGCTATTGGAGTTCCAGGATTTCTTTTCCGCATCACCTAGATTTCACACTGGGTTATTTACTTACCCCTCTTTTTTAAATCAAGGTTTTACATGAAAAGGCATGTAATTTCTAGTGTTGTTTTCATATTTTGTTAAGACACAACCAACTGTATCTTTCCTGACAAGAAGGCTTTAAAATAAGCAATATTTCACTGCACCCATAGGATGGCTTATCGAATGGGGAGGACTGTCAGGGAGGAATCTAACGGTGTCCTTGCAGAAATCCAAATTTAGGAAATACAGGAGAGACTTCTGAAACACCTAGCCTCTGCACACAGTACGTTTCTTTATCCTCTTTGTATGCAATCACTGGATGGGTTTGTTTTTCCTCCCCGTTTAGCGTTTATTTGTGTTAAATCATAGCCAACTTATTTATTATAGCCACCCCCTTTAAAGACATTCATTTAACTGCACCTCGTTGGGAAGCTGCATTTTCCTATCAAGCCTACTGAATTATTTAGCAGCTTTATTGTGGAATCGGGTGCTTGATAAGAATCGTTTTAGAGTTGGGCGCTCTGAGGCAGCAGCTCAGTCTTTCCGCCTTGGCGCTGTCCCCTGAACCCTAGCGAATACCTGAACAGGTGGCAAAGCTTAGCAGTCAATTTTGGAGCTGCCTGAGAAGAGGAGATCTAGAAATGTCAGCAACTGTTCTCCTTCCCATCAGAGCCTGGCTGCCCACCTCTAGCTCTGAGGTGCAGAAAAGCACCTCACCATCCCCACTCCGGTGGGGCTAGGAGCTCCCAGAGAAAGACACGGCCAGCCAGGCAGAGGGGAGCACCAAGGCAGTCCCCTCCCGCCTAGGAGGGCACTCTCCTCTCTGGCAGCCTGGTTTCTCCCTGCAGCCATCTTAAAGCCGCCACCGCTTGTGCCTTTTGCCACCTGCCCTCAGGGTGCCAGCAGCAGGGTCGCCATTTGCCCTGGGAGAGAGAGGTGAAACTCACCCACCCAACTTCTCCAGGCTGTGGGGATCTGGGGGGCTACTTTAAGGTGAGACAAGGTTGGGGAGGACTAGTCAAGGAAAACCAGGACAGGCATTGGCAGGGCCTGGGACCTGGAGATGGATAGTATCAGAAGAGAGAAGAGAGGCAGTGAAGAACCTGGTTTCCCCAAACTCTTGGTCATGTGACAGGCCGTTGATTGGGACAAGGGGGTGGGGTGGTATCTAAGGGCACCCTTGCGCATACTCTGGTATTCCTCCATCTGTCTGCCACTTGCAGCCCTTAGGCAGCAAGCAGAGGGAGGCCCTCTGACCTTCTCTGGAGACGACTGTTCTTTGGGGAGTGTGCTCCCATTTACTCCCGTCCCCCTGCTTATCTCATCTGTTCTCATCTCTAGAGCAGTCAGAGGTTTACATTTCTTCTAGGAAGTGAAGTCTTTGAAATATGTCCGCCCGTAGTCCACACTCCTCTCCTTCCCATCCCCACCAGGAAACCCCTCGTTCCTTCTCAAGAAACTGGAGGGTGGGGGACAAAGAAAGCATGGGAGGTTGCTCTCCTGCCCCATGCCTCAGTTTCTCTCAGTTGCATCTTAAGTTTTAGAATTATCCCTCTTTTCTCCACTCGTGGAATCCTCTCCCTGCCCTCAGTATGGGGTAAGAAAACAGGGGAACATTTGGGGGCCCTGGGATGTATGAGACAGGAGTGGCTGTGCCCTGTTGGCATGACAGCTTAGAGGTGGTCTCTCACCTGCCTTGCCTTCCTCCCCCTTTCTCGCTTTTCTTGACCCCCAGGGCAGATTTCTAAGCAGTATTAGTGTCCAAAAGAGGAAGGGAAGAGGATTGTGGGAGGTAATTTCCTAAATATGGGCTGAGAGAAACATTTTTGTCCTTCAAAGCCCAGGACAATGGCCCCTTGTCACAGCCTGAGGAGCATGCTTTTGCTCTGAGAGGGGCACCAGACTTCAATTCCAGAGGATATGTTGTGTTTGTTTTTTATTTTTTTTATTTTTTATTTTTTTTAAATATTTTTATTGATTTTAGAGAGGAAGGAGGGGGATAGAGAAATAGAAACATCAATGATGGGAGAGAATCATTGATCAGCTGCCTCCCGCATGCCCCCCACTGGGGATCGAGCCTGCAACCCAGGCATGTGTCCTTGGCTGGAATCGAACCTGGGACCCTTCAGTCCGCAGGCCAACGCTCTATCCACTGAGCCAAACCAGCCAGGGCTGTGTTTGCTTTTTAAAAAGCTATTTTCTAGCTTGAATTTTCTTGCAGACAGTAAAAAGCAGGGTTTGGTTGTGTGTGTGTTTTTTGTTGTTTGTTTGTTGCCTGAGTCCCATGTCCAGGGTGCTCCAGATCTAGCCTGGCGTTCTTTCCCTTCCATGTTTGTGGGGGAGGTCAATCCTAAAACAGGTCTTCATCCCCTATGCAGCCACCCAGGAAGGGACATATGTATGACAAGGCACACGGAAGTGGTGGACTCTCGTTGATCTTGATCCTGAAGGCATATGAAGACTGTGAACATCAGGGTTTCCTACTTCCCTTGGGTCCCCCAGTAAACACTGGGGAGCTGAGGGTTCCCTAGGAAGTTCAGCTGTGGGATGCAATTAGCCTGGGCTGTACCCAAGAAGGGCATGGGACATCTTTAACATCTGTTTTCTGGATCCTTTTGGGGTAGTTTCTGTTTAGGGGTTTTCCATTCTCTACAAGTGACTTCAAACAGATACTGGAAGGGTAGATGGCTCTGTAAGCACACTCATCTCTTATTGTTGCTTCTATTTACAAGTTTGTCTGCTCCTCCAGGCTGATCACCAAGGAGAGACTCTAACTTACTCATCTTTGCATCTCTTCTAGCAGTGCCTGCCACATAGCGGGCGGTCCGGGAATGCTTGATGAGGAAAGAGAATATTAAAGGATTGTGTCTTTCCATGTGCCTGATTGCAATTAAATAGATCCTATTAAGTCTTTATATTCTGAGTCTACCGGTACCCCTCTAATGGTAGACTTGAGGTTTTCTGTATTTGTGTATCAGTTCCAAGTGTCTGAGTATGCCCTCATCTTTGAACAGCAGAGACATCAATAGGATGGGTGTGC